AATCAGATCTCTATAAAACTTGTTTTTGCTGAAAATCTTACCTTACTACCAATGACAAAATGCTTGTCTCTAGAACTTTGTGGAGCTCGTTGCGCTGATCATTTTGGTAAAAAAAAATATTCAAATTTACTTAATAAATCATGGTGCTAGAGTCAGAATGCTCAAAAACTTCGGCTATTCCAGACTGCTGCTGAGTGGTACTTAGCATTTTCGACTATTTTGATCTTAGCACTATGACTTATCGCGTAAATTTGAATAGTTTTTTTTTTACCAAAATCATTAGCGCAACAAGCTCTACAAAGTTCTATAGACGAAAAAAAATTATCTGAGAACCTGCATTTTTTGCGGCTGACTACTCATGAAAACATCCATCAAATAATATGATGTGCTAATTAAATTTTTAACTAATTAGACAATTAAATTTTAATTAACCAATTAATTAAGTTTTGATTAATCAGTTATTGAAGCCCTATTTAATTAATTAACTAATTCAATTCAATTGGATGTGAGTCAAAAGAACGAATTTTTTTACATATATATGCATGGCAAATATACTTATTCAAAAAAAAAAAACAGCCTTGATAAAGAATAACAGTGAAATCGAAGATGAGCATGTCCTGATTTTGCCCATATAGTTAATTTGATTGTGTACTGTAGAAATACGAGAAGTGAAAAGATCGAAATAAAATATTCGTTATCTATATATTTTGTATAAATTGAATGTTAAAATGTATTGTATTCATCCTATTTTTGTTGCTCAGATAATATCTAATAAATTTTTATTCATGTTAGGCTAAATATTATGCATAGAGCCATTTGTCGAACATTAAACAAATAGTAACGATCACTTTTAGAATTGGTCTTTTAATTTAATTAACCGTTGAATATATAATAATATAGAGCATGTGTGACTTTTCATATTTATCGGTAATCTGGATGAAAAAATTCAATTTATTTCAGTACTTATCTTATGAACTATGACCAAGACTCATTGACTTGAAAGCTCTCTTTTACTCGACTTAATTTTAAGCTACCTATTGAGTATTTTTTTTATATTGCTGACAGGTTGACGCGTTTCTTTGATGTATTCTTAAAGTAAGATGTCTTGTTTTATAATACAGAAAGGAAAAAAATCAATTTTTCTGGTTCTGTTCGAAACGTTTTATTTCATATCGTTTAAGTTTGTTTAAGAAGAACAATATAGTTAGAAATTTTCTTTTTTATTTTTTTTCAAGTTTATGTATTGAAGAGAATTAATATTGTTTTTTAGCTACAATGTCACTTCGAACAACAAAAAAAAAACGTTCAACAACAAATCAGAGTCGTCAACAACGACGACCACAATCAGGTATATGATAAAAAAATTAAATAAAATATTGTTTGTTTAAATAGAATTTATTATTTAGCAAGTAATCTATTAGAACATGGTCATGTTATTAATTTAAATTCTAATCAATGGCTTTTACCAGAAACAAAAGAATATTTAAAAATAAATGATAATAAAGAAAAAGTAATATCGGAAACAGAAGATCAACATGAAGTAGAAGGTAAATCTAATTAAGAATTTCATAATTAAATAGAAAAATTTTATCATTTTCTTTTTTTTTTAGTTGTACCAACTAAAACAAAATCAATCCGGTAAATTTTATATTCAAATTTTCTTTTTCTTTTTTTTGATTTATTTTTCTCCTCCAATAGAACTCCTTATAATGAAGTTATATCATATTTAAAAAAGAATAGTTTAGTTGCAAAAGGTTTAACAATCTTTGATGTACTTTATCCAACATCATTAACAGTAAGAGATCCACATCATATTCAAGTTATAGATCGTTATGTTCTTGCTAAAGTTTGGGATGATGTAAGTTATACATAAGTAAAATAAATTTAATCTCACAAAATATATGTGTGTGTTTCTTTTTTCATAATAGATATTACCATTAACATATGGATCATATGTTGGTAAATTACGGTTAGTAAATCATTATGCTGTTGATTTAGAAAAATATGAAATTAAATTAAAAGAACTTATTACTAATTATTATCAGTAAGATATTTAAATGAATAATTGAATAAATTAAATTGCTTGTTTATATATAGATTTATTTCAAATTTTATTTGGAAACATATAGATGAAGATAATAAACGAAAGTAAGTAAAAACGATGTCTTCATGAATTGGAATTCACAATGTTCTTTACAATTTAGTAAAATCGAGTTTTTAGACTCAAATATAGCTTCATTAAGATCTATTTTGTAGAACTTATTTTTGAAGAAAATATTGAGTGTAAGTTTATATCAAGAGTTTTTTGGTTTCTCCTTCCCTAGGCACTAGTAACTAGATAGGAGGGAAGGCCAACAATCATTGAGTACGTTTCCATAGTAACCGAGGACAACAGGCGCCAGACTTCTTTCATAGAGTTCCTTAGCAACGAGAAAAGGCACTAACAAAAAGAGTGAAGAACATATTTTAGCTCCAAAGGGGCAGCACCGATAACATTTTTTCAATTGAATCAATCATTTTTATTTGTTCATGGATTATTTAAGAAAAAAAAAACAGTTAGTTCTTCTTTCTCAAATTCAAGCATAAGATTCTCATACAGTTTAATAGCATTTAGCCCCTTTTCTCAACTAAAAATTTTCAGTTTTTGTCCTGTAAGAAAAACTCATTCCTTTTTTTCGTGTACGTGACGACCGATTAAACTCAAATGTAAGTTTGGCCAATATTTTCTCAAAACTAACACCAGTGGGAAAAAGTATTTTTCCGTGGTATAATAGTCCCAACAAAGCAATATTGATTTATGCAAGGGGAAAGCTTGTGACCTTCTCGCTTTTATATCCTGAAGATCTACGAGTAGGAAGCATTCGGAGATTATAACTCTATGACAACTTTTATTCGTTGTATCAAGATCTGTCTACGTTGAAAGTTTTAAAAATTTTTGTCAAACTATTCTCAAGAAAATTATATTGTAAATATATTCATTATAACAACTACTCATTTTTGTAGTTTCATTTAAAAATGATGCTAAATATCTATTTCTTTCTAGACTTGGTCCATATCTTCACTGGACTAGTTTATCAAAAGACGAACAAAATAAGTAAATAATTAACCAACCCATATTTCATTTTCGTAAAAGCTGTTTTTTTTGTTTTAGAATTACTGAAGAGATAAATAAAGAAGAATATACCAGTCAAAGGTAGAGGAAACTCAGATTGATTTTCTTGAATATATATATTGTTTTAATTTTAGTACATTGGAAAATTTTGCTTGGCGAAAGTTGACCGATCAAGAACAGAATGCGTAAATATGTTCTTTTTACTTTTTTTGTTTTTCATCATTCTCTTTTCCTTTATAAATATTTTCTCATGAAAATAGTCTATTACAAAAACCTGTGGTTTATGAAGATAAAAATCAAACTTTATTGAAAAATATATTAAAAGAAGCTGAAGCTGAATCAGCATTAAAAGGATTGGCTCGTATGGATGTCGAAATTCATCGTGCTATTAAATTCTTACAAATATCAACTGATTTACGTCAATTACAAAAACGAGCTGATGTAAGTAGTTTTTTTTTTATGTACTTTCTATTAATAAAATCAAAATAAAACATAAATATCAAATAGGTGGATTCAAAATCAAAAGTAGAACAAAAACCAAAAATAAAAAGAACATTATCAGCAGATCGAAATTTTCATCAACGTGTCATTTGTCGTTTTGATGCTGATGGATTTTTTCATCCTGGTATCACATAAATCTTTTTTTTTAAATTATTCATTAGAAAATTTTTAAAATAGGAACTTTACAAAAAAATCAAAATGGTCAATCAATAGTTCATTTTGATATGGGTATAGAACAAGAAGCAATTGGACATATTCTTTTACCAACAAATGGTGCAATTGCTCAACCAAATTTATTTATAAATGATCGTGTTCTTGTCCGTCAAAAGAATGAAAATGAAGAGTTTTGGGCACCTGGTATTGTAATGGTTCTACCATCACCAGTTGCTCAACCACCTCCTTTATATATGATAGAAATATATACTCCATCTGCACATCAAGTATGAATATTAATTCACAGAAATCAATATTAAAATATTTATTTAGGTTCATGTATATCGTCGTAATATACTTAAAATAAGTTTAGGCCTTTTTCAACGAACTCTTTTATATCTTCAAAGTCTTAAGTAAGTTATTTCGTTTTTTTTTGTTTTGTATTTCTAATAAATAACAATTAATATTTAGTCGTAAACATGGACCAATCGATGGAAATACTAATGGATCATCAAAGAATCCTTCTTTACAAGGTATACTTTTTTTTTTTTGTAATTCAATCAATTTTTCTTTTCTAATTCATTTTATGTCTAGATACTCTTCGTAAAGAACTTGAACCATTAAATACTAAAGTAGAACAACTTCATCAATCACATAAGAAACGTTGTAAAGAACTTAAAACGGTAGAAAATAAAATTTTTCAAAAACAACAAAACAAAGCAAATTAATTATTTCATTATCTTCCTAGGCACTCGAATTGCAAATGGATGTAATTAAACATTTACAAGAAAGAACACCAAAACCAAAAGTTAGATTCGAATCGTCTCAAACAGCTGAAATATCATTAAAACCAATAGTAAATAAACCTGATTCGCCAATACCAACACCAACTCCTAAGTCACCAATACCACCAGATTCTGAGTCATCAACATCATCAGAAGATATTATTCAACCAAATACACATGTCTATGCTCTATGGCGTGATGATGATAGCCTTTTTTATGAGGTTTGTTAAAATTTTAATTAATTTTTAAATAAAATAGTACGAGACTTACATTTATTACCTAGTAGAAAAAAAAACCAATCTTCTTATAATTAAATATTTCTATATAGACTACTAGGATCAATAATACTTCAAAGAGATTAGTGTGTTTGAGAAATTGCAATACGTCTAATAAACTAATCTTTTTCTTTCTAGGGTATTGTATTAAACAAACAAGGCGATTCAAATTGTTATACTGTCCAACGATGTGGTTTCCCTCGTATTGAAAGCATTATTTCACGTGAAGAAATATTTCTAGAATCGAAACGTCAACGTTTAAAAACGTTACCTGTAAGTTAACGAGTGTGCATTTTAAAAAAAAAACACATAGACATGTATCTTTTTTTTTTCTAAATATAGCCTAAATCATGCGTTCTTATTCAATATCCAAAACATTTTCCATATTGTTGGAAGCCTGCCGTAATACGTGATTCTGATAATGAAACAACGAAAACACATGTTCGTTTTTATGATTGTATGGATAGAGAAATATCAAATAATGAAAATGTAATAAAAATTGATGAAAAAGATTTTGAAAATTATTCAACACGTCGTATTAAATTCGAAATAAGTCTTCTTGATAAAGTTATTGTTGGTTTCAATCCCAAGGAAAAAGTATTTATGTTAGGCACAATTATTGAACGTGTTGGATATGGTCATACATATATTATTCGATGGTGTGATGAATCAGAAAGTCAAGAAGAAGAAGAATATTTATTTGGAGCATTTACAAGATCCATACAACATGAACTAAATGATTCGGTTTTAGCTTTGGATAATGATCAATATATTTATAAATTAGCAAAAGTTATAAGTATTTCTGATGATAAAAAAACATTAACTATTCGTTTTACTGATCCTAAAGAAAATAATAGGTAAAAATCGATTTTTCAATCCGATAAAATTCAATTTTTTTAATTATATTTCAGAGAAGTTGATGTACCATCTACTACTGCATTTGTAACCACTGTATCACATTATAACAATATTATCGAGAAACCAAATGCTTGATTTGATATTTTTTTTTCTTTTTCTGTATTCTTCTTTCTTCTCTTCAGATAAATCACCTGTCGATTCTTAAAATTTGTCTTTGTGTAATCTTTTTTTTTTCATGATTTTTTTATTTACAAAAAAAAAAAGAGAAAGAAGAACATTAAATAATATTTTTTGTTTTTTTTTTCCTATTTACACATACCATTCTTTCGAATCAATAATATTTTCTTCATTTGTTGTTATTAAATTTTGTCGATGATGATGGTTTGATAATAATATTTTACCAGTACAACCACTAGTATTATGATTATCCAAATGAGATTTTATAGTAAAATTTTTACTTTCATCAATTTTATATGAACCTTTATCACGATTACAACAATGTTTAAATATTATATAAATAATAATCATCATAAGAATTCCAGCAATTATACATCCAATAATCATCATAATATTTAATGTTGAATATTCTTGTTGTGTTGTTGGTAATGATGTATGTGACAAACTCATATTAGAAAATGAACTTGTTGTCAATGAATTAATTGTTGTTGATATGATATTATTATCATGATCTATATCGATAAGACTTTTATTTGCTACTACTGCTGATGATGATGATAATGATGATGATGATGATGACATTAATGTGATAGTATTACTGGTAGTAGATGATAATTGATCAATAGCGGAAATAACAGCATTCTGATAATGAAAGGGCAAAGAATGTTTCTTATCTAGATTTTTAGTTAAAAAAAACCGTGGTGAAGAATGAAGAATAGAAAAACCGTTTGATGAGTAATAAGTAGTTTGTTGATGTTCACAATACGATAGATCTAATAATGATAAAAAAGAAGAGGAAGAAGACAAGGCCGATGATGATGATGACTGACTGGTAAAGTAAAAATAATAATGACGTGCACTTTGTAGTGAAACTTAAAAACAAAAAAGATAATTAGAATGATGTTTTTTTTTTCTTCTTCTTGAAGAATAAATAAATATATATATAATCAAAAATATATCAGAATCAAATGAGTACTTCTTGTTATTGTCATAAAAAATATGAACTGACAGAAATAGATCATAAGAATGATGATGATGTCAATTGGATAGAATGACAAAGAAGCACTAGAAGAGGAAAAGATTCATCTTTTTTTATTTGTGCATGCCAAAGAATTGACGATTCTCTTCTAATTCACTACAATGATAAGAACAAAAAGATACTGATGCAGAAGAATTATAATAATTTTTTTGTGAGGCGAACAAGAAAAAAAAGGAAGACACGCATATAAAAAAAAAACGCCACAGGCAAGCATTATTGGAAGAAAAATAGAATGTCATCGCATCATTCAGTGAGCCAAACAAGAAAAGAAAAACGCATTCATATATACGCAGTCTATGTTGTTATCCAACTTCACGTGAATAGATGATTGATGATAGAACGTAAACAGAAAGAAAAAAAAAAAGTTAAACTAACAAATAAAACCAATCGATGTGATTTAAACCTGATGGTTATATATTTTTCTCATAGAAAACATGTATATGAGAAAAAAACCTTCATGATTCAAGTGAAATATAAAACTTTTATTGAGATTGATCGATAGAAATTTCCATTTTTTTATGAAAATAATACTTTCGAATTTTAATCTAAAACTTTGCTCCCATCAATGCATTAACTTAAATAGCTTGTAGAGAAACAAATGTAGACTTATTGCTATGTTGCATCATTCAAATCGAAATTTTTCAAAATATTCATATTCTATACAATATATCATGACAAACGCATATATTTTCAAAAAACCAAAATTTCAGTGAGGCTAATTCGAAAAAAAAATAAAATCTGAAATTTCTTTATATAAGCTAGTCTAGTATTTCAGTCAAATCACAATATACACTCCTATCCTCTTAACATTTTTCCGATCTACACATCTTTTACTTATGGAGAAAATATCAAGGATAAAGACTTTGAACTACTTCAAGCTATTCCTTTGTAAATCAATAGTTTTATACATAACAAGGTTATTTCATGGCTCTGCTTCTTATCAAAATCGAACTTATTGATTAGATTGAATAGAAATATCTAATCATATATATCTATATACACAAAAGAAAGAAATAGCAACAATATAATAAAATTAGATATGTGTATAGGAAAAAAATAAGTAATTTGATAATTATCTTATTCG